TGGTGATGATGATGATGATGAAGAATGGGAGGACACTGATGAGGAAGATGAGGAGCAAGATTATGATTCAGAAGGTGGTCTGTCAGTGGATGAGGAAGGTGGCCGGAGAGAGTTCATGTTTGCCGACTGTGAGACGAAGAGTCGTTTCACAGAGTATTCGCTCACATCCTCCGTCATGAGGAGGAATGAGCAGCTCACGCTTCTGGACGACCGCTTCGAGAAGGTCAGTCAGCAGATCTTCCACACACACATAACGGTGAACATAAGGGCCTGTTCACAATGAGCTCAAATTTCTTTCTTTTCTTTTTTGTCTTTAAATCAAGTATACACAGAACACAGCAAGATCACAGCAGCATCTTTTTTTTCTTTTCACCTCTCTGAAATGTTGTGTCTTTACAATTTAGTACTTTAAAGTGCCACAGCCATACACATTTTCTTTGCTGTGTAGTTATAAAAAAGTCACCAAACAATAGAATAGGATGGGTTTAATTTTCCGTTAAATCTAGTAATTTTATTATTTATAGTTTGTGTCTGGCATTAAACAGTTACTGGCATGCAATATGTATTTATTTGTTTATTTTTACATTTGTTTAGTTGTACTGTGCTGTATAAAAATTGTCAACATAATTAACAAGGACTAAAAGCATGAGCCTAATTTATTTTTAATGTAAAAATAATTTCTGAAGGATCATGTTACACTGAAGACTGGAGTGATGATGCTGAAAATGCAGCTCTGCATCACAGGAATACATTACATTTTACAATATATTCAAATAGAAAAGTTATTTGAAGTTCTAATAATATTTCACAATATTACATAACAGTGCTGTATTTTATTAAATAAATGCAGCCTTGGCAAGCATAAGAGACTTCCTTCGAAAACATAAAAAAAAAAATGTTTTGTATATTATTTTAAAGTATATATATTTCTCAGTTGTACAAGCAAAAAATATTGAAGCACTAAAACCATAAACCTGATTTATTTTTAATGTTACACTTCTATAGAGAAGCATCAGTAATTGACTGTTTGTTGTGCTGTCGAATAGTTTTACGAGCAGTTTGACGATGATGAGATCGGCGCACTGGATAACGCAGAGCTGGAGGGCTACATCGAACCGGACAGCAAGCGACTAGAGGAGGTCTTCAAAGATTACTTCATACAGAAAGAGAAAGAGTGAGTGTGTGCGACTGTCACAGATCTGTGTGTGTGTGTGTGTGTGTGTGTGTGTGAGAGATCCCTCCAGAAGCTGCCCTCTGTGAGAGAGGAAGACGAGGAGGATGAAGAGGTGGAGATTGAGACGATGGTCATTGAGCCTCCTACAGAGAACTGGGACTGTGAGACCATCATCAGTGAGTCTGAATCCATGCTGAAAATTCTGCTTTAATTACAGGAATAAATTACAGTTCAAAACATATTCAAATAGAAAACAGTTATTTAAAATGTAAATATACTTTATATATATATACTGCCATTCAGATAGAAATATAATATAATATATAATAAGTATATATATATATACAGTGGTGTGAAAAAGTGTTGGCCCCCTTCCTATATAAACATATACACAATATATAACAATATATTGATAATAAATCAGTATATTAGAATGATTTCTGAAGGATCATGTGACACTTATATATTAGTAAACAAATGGTGAGTTTGTTGTGAATTGACGTTGATTTTATGTTAATCTTAACAAGTAATACCTACCTTATGAGTGACATGTTAATAGGTTTTTAAAACATTGATTCATTGAGCTAATTCATAGTAAATGTGACTAATAAAGCACACAGATGTATTTTGTTTACTTGCTCTTTATAATAGTTTGCATGCGATGTCGTGATCAAAACACATTTCAGAGGTCATTAGAGGAGATGTTTGTTCATAGGGATGGATGGGGTTACATAAGCATTATTAGAGCTTAAAAACACACAAACACCAAGAGGCGTGGCACTTAATGCAAACAATACAGCATGGTGATTGCAACACCAAGGTCATGGGTTCGAAACCAGCATGAACTGTTATCATGTGTATCTTGAATGCAAGTATCTTTGGTTTGATGCATCTGCCAGATGCATAAATGTAAATATGTGTTTGCAGATCCGAGTGTCCGATAAGACAGGGATTCCTCTGGACGTCCTGCCGAAACGAGGCCTGACGGCCAAACAGGTGGAGAGGATGGAGAGGATCAACGACTCGGACCTACCCCAAGCCTCCACGCAGCCCCGCTCACGGGAAGAGAGCGCAGAGGAGAGGAGAGCCAGGAAACAGGCCATCAAGACGGAGAGGAAGGTGCATACAGTGGTGGCACCTCCAGATCCACCTGGCAGCATTTTGTTAGTCTAATCTGATGTCATGCGGAAAATAATATTAAATATTAATCTAACGCAGTTAATGTTGTGATTACCAGTGATCACAACCTGTTATCTCTGTGTTATGACCTGTCAGACATTATTAGCTTGTTGAGAAAAAGTGTGCTGGCACTTCAAGTCGTCAGACTTGGGATTTTTTACTTATTTTATAATAAAATGAGTGGGAAAATCCCACATTAGAAGGGGAAGTGTGCTCGGTATTAACCACTTGGCAGTGTATCTGCCTAAAAAGCACCACGGCAAACCCCTTTATTTGTTCATTTGTTGTTTTAGGAGAGGAGGTCGGAGAAGAAAGCAAACAAACTGGCATTCAAACAGGAGAAACAGATGCAGGAGAAGCAGATGGTTAATTTAAGAGCAAACGTTCAGGGCCTGAAGCTCTCGTAGGACTGCAGAGACGCTCCAGAGACTGTCGACATCACTGCAATGTTTCCAACACCAGCAGCGACTACAGGACCTCACTGAAGACACGTCACTTCACAGGTTACACTGTTGCAGTGCGTGATGACATCATTTTCCTTACCAGAACTTCCATGTTTGTTTGACTCGTACAGCGAGTTCTTGAATGATGTTTTTGAATAGTGTTGCCATGGAAACATCATAACAAATGGAATCTATAGAAACTGTTCTATTTATGTTTGACTGTTTGAAGGTAAACAAATTTGAAAGTGAACGTGAGTTCATTTCTTAATGACTCAGCAGCATTTTTTTGTACAAAAAGGTAAACATTCATCATATTCAAAGGTTTTCAACCAGTTATATTAAAAAAACAACAACACACAAGTATTATTTTTTCCATAGAATCCCATTCAGCTTTTAATAAAAACACAATATGAAAAAAAAAAAAAAAACTGGGCACAATATTGAACTTAATGCAAACTATCCCTTGTCCTCTCCCATCATTGTTATGCAAAGTGCATAAATGCCATTCACAGGATTTGAACAATAAACAACTTTGACCTCAAAAGTTCCTGTTTTCATCACGGAGTGAGCAGGTTGAAGATCTGCTACATGACCACGTGCTCGGTGTTCACATCGTGTCAGAATTACAGCGATTATGAGTCTCTGAGTTGACAAAAACATTCACATCTTTGTTGGAAATTGTAATTGAAAACTGGTTTATAAAAGCTTTGTCATCATACAAAAACAGTGTCTTTAAAAGCTAAAAGTTGTTTAGTAGCAACTTAAACACACTACTGTTCAAAGGTTTCGGATCAGTGACCTTTTTCTTTTTCATGTTTTTGAAAAAAAGTATCTTCTGCTCACCAAGGCTGCATTTATTTGATCAAAAATAACGTAAAAAATGTAAAATATTATTGCAATTTAAAAGAACTGTTTTCTATGTGAATATATATACTATCATAATGTATTCCTGTGATCAAAGCTGAATTTTCAGCATCATTACTCCAGTCTTCAGTGTCACATGATCCTTCAGAAATCATCCTAATATTTTTTTGATACTCAAAAAAACATTTATGATTATCAATGTTGAAAACATATTTTTGTAGAAACCATGATACTGTATTTTTAATGAATAGAAAGTTCAAAAGAACAGCATTTATTTTAGTAACATTATAATGTCTTCGCCGTCACTTTTGATTAATGCGTCCTATCTGAATAAAAGTATTAATTTCTTTAAAAAGAATCATACTGACCATAAACGTTTCGAACAGAAGTGTACATTAATGTTTGATGTGACATTTTATTATAGCTCACGATACCTGGTGCATATTTACTAGTGCTGGGCAACGAATAGTTGTTTTAAAATCGCGATTAATCGCATAATTGTATGCGATTAATCGCATTGTTGTGCACAAAATTCAATAATGCATTCAAAAGTAGTGTATTGTGCACTTTTTTCATTTAAAAGTACTGCTATATGAACAAAAGTGCAATAACATTTGGTTTGCAAACACTAAACAAATAAGGTGTTTTTTTTTACAGTAGTATTCCTTTTACATAGTGGCAGTTAAAATAGTTATTGTAAATCTCTTATAATACTAATGTAATCAAATTAAATATAAAACCAACGTTATTTTCCACTACCATGGCATTAACGTTTTTATAGAAAATATTTTATAGTTTGTTACAGAAAAACAAGTTATGCTCAGAGTCCAGAGCCTCGATCATAACACTATAACAGGCACCACAACAGACCTGCACTATCGCGGGACCCAACGCAGCTGAGTGCGGCGCGGGACAACACTTGATGGGACGGTAGAGACTCGTGTGTGCGGGATGCGGGAGAATAAGGGTGTACTACTATTCACACTAGGCAATCTTAACCGTGCCCGAGCGCGTTTGACCCCCAAAGCCCGGTTCGTTTGACTAGTGCGTTCGTTTAGCCGTCCAGTTCAGTTATATATAGATCAGTGAGTGTAAGCGCGGAATGATATGTTATGATATGTTATGATACGTGTAGCATGATCGCGTAAACATTTCTGAGCGGCAAGAGTGATACATCTGTAAAGCAATATATTGTGAGAGGGCCGTGTGTTACCGCGTCCCAAACGACTTAAAATAATAAACCACAAAGTTAACAAAACGATGCACTCCACTGTACTGAGCGAGAGCGCTTCTCTGCTGTCTTCACGTGCTATCGGAAACTTCAGAGCCAGTGAGCAACGGACTATCATAATAATAAAAAAAACTGCGATAAAATAATTGTCGGCGTTAATCAATGAATGCGTTAACGCGATAACTTGCCCAGCCCGAATATTTACAAAAAATAACAATAAATATAGAGGGTAATTATTGTAATAATAAAGTGTTTTTCTGTAATCAACTCAACAAAGCCATGCAAGGATCCATTTCCAAATCCGATGAGGCGTGCGAAAACACAGCATAAGTCCAATGGATTGATTCACATTACCTGAGCAGCACTTGTAAAAGATATTGTAAAACTTTGTTCTAAGGCCACAGGATAAGACTCTGTCCGAATAGAAGATAATACTACAGTATGTAGTAAAATATAAGTAGTAACGAACAAAAAAAAATGCTCAAAATAATAAGAATAAAAGAAAAAACCCTGAATTAGTGTATGAGGAGTTTCGGTTCAAATAAAAGGAGTGCCGTGATGAAGACAAATGCCAAACACGTGTTTCCATTGTGCCACAAACCGGAAAACCTGGGCGAATTCCATTTCATGATGTCATGCGAGGGCTTGTATTTGTACCATCAGTCCCATCCCACATCATGTTCCCAAAACACACCCTGGCCACAGGTACGGGGATTTTGCTGTCTTTATGGTACTTTCCTTCACTTCTGTACCTCTGAAAGCAGTGAGGCTGTGTAACTCTCTACCATATCTCCGGGACTCATCTCCTGTTGTCTGGGAGCATGTGGGCAGTCGTAAAAACCCGACTGGTTGCTCTGCTCACTTTCAACAAGGTCATTAGGCCCGTAGGGGCTTTTAACTTCCGAGTCACCACTTCCCAGATCTTTGGTATCGGAGGGCCGTTCCTCATCGCTCATCTTTAGTAACGGGGCTTGTTCTTTATTGTCCTCGGCCGGTTCGATCTTCACAACGCTGATAGGCTCTGGCACCACTTTCAGAGTTCTGCACTCGTCCTCGTGTGTTTTACTGAAATCCTACCAAACCAGAAAGAGACAGGTTACAGTAACCCATCCCAGTGCAGGAATGCTGCTGGGTAACACGCGCACACCAAACACATCAGGACAGATCTGACCAATCACAGCGTGGTTTACCCAAAAATACATGACTTTCTTCACAAAAGGAGATATTTGGAAGAACACTGGACCAAACAACATTAGACAATCCACTTGTGCACAATCATCGGTTTTGTATTTTTTTGTATTTCTATTCAGCTTTATTATTTATTTCAGTTTTAGTAATTTTAGTACTTACTACTTACAATTAATTTGTATTTTGTTTCGGTTTGTTTCCAAAACAACATTTCTAATTTATTCTTTTCATCTAATATTTGTTATGTTATTTAGTTTAAATTTATTTTTATTGCAGTTTTAGTTTTAGTAATTATAATACCTCATCTTTTATGTTTTTTTTTTATTTCAGTGAGCTTCCAAGGCAACATTATCAGTTCAACCTAAGTTTAAGATTTTTAGCAAATATTTAGATTTTATTTTATGTCAGCTTAAATGACCAAAAGCAAATGTTAATAGTTTTAGTAAATAACAACACTGATGGTGACTGGTTATTTTTTTTTTTTTATATATATAGTTTTTTTTGGGGGGGTATTAAATGGATAGTACACCAATCAGACAAATTGAAAACATTCACAATTACATTTTTATTTTGACTACTTCACTAGCACTTTATAGTGCTTTCATAGTATCTGCCATGAAGCCACACACACACAAATAATCTGCCACACATTAATTGATGTGTCCAAAACTGGAAAGTTTGAGCAAACTAAAAATTATTGTGCCACTGTAATGCTATTCATTTCGTAACTACATTATGATCATTTTAATGTGTCTTGCTTAAGTTGGATTGTGCAGCAGTGATGTAAATACATAGATGGAGGCTGACTGTTGTAAAAAAAGGAATTGATTTTGTGTAAATTGTTTGAAATGTCATTCTTACACAAATTGTTGCATTCAGTTAAATTTATGTCAGAATACTTTACTGAAAAGGGTACACAAAAATAGTGAGAACAGGTCAAACAGCAACTTACAGAAAAATACTGGAACATAGGGAGAACTTTCTCCTTCATTTCTGAGTTGCACTTTGTCACTAGCAGCATAATGATGCCAGTTATGAACAGCAGCGTTAAAACGACTCCCAGCACTGGATACACATACATGGTGACCGGAGGATCTGGATGGAAGAACAAAAAACATCAGTGAATTTCATCATACGAGCTTGTGCATGTATTTATGATTTACAGTTTGGCATATCATTAAATATGATATCTCTGGGTTTTGGTTTCAGGTTCGCACCATTGAGCCCATACGGTGTCTGTTTTGTCTCATGTGTAAAAAAAAATATATAATTTGCCTTCAGTATTTATGTATTGTAATGGCAGGACCCAGGTAAATGTGCTAATTTGCAATCTAATTAGTTTTGAAGTCAAAAGTTTGGATGCATCTACACTCTAAAAAATGCTGGGTTAAATACAACCCCGTGCTGGGTAAAATAGGGACAAACCCAGCAATTGTGCTGTTTTGACCCAGCGGTTGGGTTACTACCCAGAAGGTTGGGTTAAACATTTAACCCAACCGCTGGGTCAAAACAGCCCAATTGCTGGGTTTGTCCCTATTTTACCCAAAGTTGGGTTGAAACAACCCAGCATTTTTTTAGAGTCTATCTGCCTTCAGAAATAAGCAGTAGACTGTTTGGTAGAAATCGCACTTACAGCTTCTTATGTCTCCTGTGAAACAGCTGCTTCTCAGATTGAAAAATCTCTGTCCGATCTTTCCAGTCAGATTGACGCAGTATTCGCCTCTGTGCTCAGAAAACACAACGGACGTCTCGCATGTATTTTGCTTCATCTCACAGGTTTCACAGGCTTCATTCCTCCCCTGTAGAGAAAACAAGAGTTACAACTATTTAAAAGAACAGTTCACTGAAAAATGAGCAATTAGTCATTATTAATGCACTCCGTTTGATTTGAGATATACACTATTGTTCAAAGATTTGGGGTCGATAAGATTTGTTTGTTAAATAAATGAATACTTTTATTCAGCAAGGACGCAATAAACTGATCTAAAGTGAGAGAAAATCAAGGTTTCCACAAAAAGAGCACAACTGTTTTCAACACTGATAATCAGAAATGTTTCCTCAGCGGCAAACCTGCATTTTAGGATGATTTCTGAAGATCATGTGACACTGAAGACTGGAGTAATGATGCTGAAAATACAGCTTTGAGCACAGCAATAAATTACAGTTTACAATATATTCAAATAGAAGAGAGTTTTTTTGGGAAATGTATTAATATTTCACAATATTACTGTTTTACTGTATTTCTGATCAAATAAATGCAGCCTTGGTGAACAGAAGAGACTTCTTTCAAAAATCAAAAAAAAAATCTGACCCCAAACATTTGAACACTACACTCTAAAAAATGCTGGGTTAAAACAACCCAATAGCTGGGTTTGTCCATTTTTAACCCAGCGCTGGGTTATATTTAACCCAGCATTTTTTAGAGTGTAGCGTACATAAATATTTTCTTATATTTATGTAAAATACATTAAATATATTTACTTTAATGTAGCTTTATTGGAGCTATAAATTGTTATAATACTGAAAAAAGCTGCTGAAGATCGTTCAAGTGAGTTTTTTTGTTTTTGGTTGAACTATTACTGCGAGCAGACAGGAAAGTGAACATTACTTCTTCTGTTTCGATACAGTATTCCAGATTATCGGTGAGGCTGCGCAGAGCCGGTGAGTTTCTGTACAGCTGAAGAGGGTTGGTGAACTGGACGTGAAGTTTGCCGTCTTTGGGAGAAAGTTCAACCTCAGGAAAATCCAAATGACCTGAACACACGGAAGTACAGTTAGATTATACTGCCGGTATTTGCTATGATAGATGATATTTCCACTAAAAACACTAAACATACACTTAATTTTGGCGGTAGCATATTTATTATAGCTGAAGATATCTGATAGTGTCGGCTCTGACTCCTCTACTCCTCGCACGGCCGTCACATTAACAATGTAGCGGTTGTATGCTGGATAAAACAGCATACTGGATATGTTTAAACGCAGACTTCGTGTAAGATTTTGTGTAACAGAGTTCCTGGAACAAAAATAAATAATAATGGCAGACAAAATCATTCAATCAAGAACAAATGAACATTTAAAGACTATAAAAGGCTCTTATTAGCTGGGAAAGATGAGGTTTCTTTAATTCAGATGATTTACCTTTGATTGAAGTCGTGTATCACCTTCACCTGGAATTGGACGTCCTGATCGAGATCAGGATATTCCCATCGAACTTCAACTCCGTAGCTGTCACACTGAATCGACACGCTAGCAGGAGGAGACGGGCGACTCACAGCTAAAAGAGACCTAATCATATTAGTGTTTGATCAATCACATGCTCTTTCCTCTCTGTTTGCATTAGTCTGGCCACATCATCTCCATATATATTACATTCTTATTATGCTAAGCAAAACAATGCTCATAATTCCCATTCAGAGTACTGTAAAAAGACCAAATCTGTCAAGACATATGTGGACCAAATTTCAGAAAATAATGAAATATATTTTGTATAATCAAAATGAAGGCTGTTTTTAAAACCATTAAGATTTTTTGTATTGTAACATTGTTCTCAAAAGAAGACAGTTAAGGACATTTCACTGACAGTAGTGCAGTAAAGTAACAATTCTTATGTGCACTGTAATGCCTGAAAAATTATATATTCAAAAACTGTGAAGTACAATTATTTAGTAAGAGGCATATTAAGTATACAATTTATTTATTTACTGAATATACAATGCAGTTAAAAAGTTTGTAGTCAGTAATATTTGAAATGTTTCTGCTCATCAAGGCTGTATTTATTTGATCAAAAATACAGTAAAATATCTAAATATTATTACAATTTAAAATAACTTTTCTGTTTGAATATATTTTATAATTTAATGTATTTCTGTGATCAAAGCTGAATTTTCAGCATCATAACTCCAGTCTTCAGTGTCACATGATCCTTCAGAAATCATCTAATATGCTGATTTGCTGCTCAAGATTTTTTTTTTTTTTAAAACAATTGTGCAGCTTCATTTTTTTCAGCATACTCAGATGAATAGAAAGTCCAAAGAACAGCATTTATTTGAAATCTTTTGTAACACTATCCCTACTGTCCCTTTTGATCAATTCAATGTGTCCTTGCTGAATAAAAGTATTAATTTCTTAATAATTTCCTAACAATAAATTGCAATACATTATTTGTAATTGCAATAAGTAAAAACCTTAATGGTCTTAAAACAGGCTTAATTTATTCATGTATGCTAACTATAATTATTATTATTTTTTTTTTATCTAAACAGCCACAATTACAGTAGTTCCTGTTGAATTGGTTCAGACTGGCCTGAAAACATACACTGATTTCCAATGGTTGTTGAGATAGTATGAACAAGCTTTACAATGTCCATGTCCCCTGCTGACCCTTCCCAGCGCTCTCTCTTCTCATGGTAAACACAACACACATCAAAACCGTCTTCTCTTCCCTTCCCGCTAGCTCTACTCTCCAAACACCCACGCGCACACACCCTCACACTTGCCGTTTATTAACAGATGCCATTTAACCTGTCACGCACACTGCTATTACCATCGACCAGTTTCTGTCTGATGTCAACTTTATATCTTGTATTTTGTGGACTTTGCACTGCTTTTGTCTTCAGATGTGTTTTACACCCCTATAAAGTCGACATTCAAAAGCTATTTTACTGCTGTTATGCGACATATTTAGGAGTATTTAGTATTGTAATGTGTGGCAGTCATTTGATTCTCCTGACTCTTATTCTTCTTCTCACTCTTAACTTGTTTTACGCCTGAGGTTGTCAGATTGGAGGCAAAACAGAACAAAGTCTGAATGTAAAAAAACTGAATGTAAAAAAAAAAAAAAAAAATGTATCACGATATCCACAAAAAATAATTAACCAGCACAACTGCTTTAACATTGATGATAACAATAAGAAGAAGAAATGTACTCAAATCAGCATTAGAATGATTTCTGAATGATCATGTGACACTGAAGAATGGAAGCCCATTTACGCCACTGGATAAAACATAGAACAAGGTAATTGTGAGTTTTTATCTCACAATTCTGACTTTTTTCTCACAATTGCGAGTTTCTAATCACATAATTCTACGAAAAAAGTCAGAATTGTGAGATAAAAAGTTGCAGTTACCTTGTTTTATTTTTTATTCAGTGGCGGAAATGGACTTTTATACTAAATACTGGAGTAATGATGCTACATTTTAAATTACATTCAAATAGAAAACAGTTATTTTAAACTGTAATAATATTTACACAATATTACTATATTTCTGATCACATAAATGCAGCCTTGGTGACACTTCTACATGAAAAAAATGTCTTACCGTCCCCAAATTTTTAAACAACGAGCATAAACATTTTCATGAGTGATTTGATTTGATTAGCTTCATAAGTCATTAGTCACTTGTCACATGGGCTACTTTTACAGTGTTTTGTGTGTGTGTGTAATGAAGCTCTCAGACTTGTTTTCCCAGTTTTGACTATTGACCATTAACCATCACTGCTGTACAATTGCTGAGAAGACATGTGACGAGAACACAAAATCACAGAGATCCGCCCCTTTCTCTTGTCACTGGCATTATATTCTTGGAAATTGCAGTGTGAAACAGGATCTGTGGTTTCAATCACTGCTGTCTCAGCCAGTCTAAATCTTCATTTCATAAGAAAGAGCAAACCAAACACCAATAGACTCCAACTTCCTTAAGAGCTTCTGAGAACTTTAACACAACAAGCTTCTCACCCCAAACACAATGTTGTAATGAGATGAATCGTATTACAACATTCAAAGAAAAAATGTTTTGGCTTGCAGGACCAAGCTGTCGCATTGCACGCAGCCTTTTAGTGCGGCTGAAATTTGGTTCGATTTCTATGGATTTATAAGTCAGCTGTAATATGCCTGAACATTGACCTGCCTTCTGGATTTAGTTCATATGTAGAGTACAGTACGCGACTGTCATGATCGTATGTCCAGACCAGACGTTCACAGAGCTCTGTAGTGCAGCACACGTTAAACTACGAATGACAGGAATGTGTCAAATGTTAAACTGTGACTAGCAGGACTGATAGTAAAGGGATGGGTTTGCATCCCTCTCGATGAGTTTTGGCACACCTACATTCAGGATTAATCTCAGATGTCAGTGTAATAAAAACTGGGACCTGCAACCAGGCCTTTGGACCACACAAACACATAAACCTACGCTAAATGCTATGAAAACTAAAGCCTTTTAATACTGTGCCATCCCACTTTTTATTTTACTTTATTTTATTTTAACACACATTAATCAACATTTCTGTAAATGTGCCAGTGTTAGCCAGCTGGCTAATTTTCAACTGCAGTCCTTTGGCAAGATGCTTAAAAAAAACCGTTAAAATAACAAAAGAAAAAAAACAACAACAACAAAACATCAGCACAAAAACTCAAAATCAATTCCACAATTAGCCATGCAAGCACACAAAGCCACACAACCCTAAATAGATAAGATGCAAGCCTGCTGGAAAACAGTAAGCATACATAAAGCACATCAGATGCAATTTAGAGTTAATATAAAATAATAGCAAACACAAATTGTATAACACTATATAAAAAAAAAAGCACTCCAGACAATTAATAAAACACTAATTAAATAATCCAAACATACCCAAGCCATGCATTTGGCCGTCTGACAACGAGCAAAGGACATGGGACATGTTAGCAGCGGGGTAAATAGTAACGATAGTAATAATAAAAAGATCGATAACTATATAGATAAAAAATTATCTCATGTCTGATTTTTTTAAAAGCCAGACTTTAAAGGGGTCATATGATGCTGCTAAAAAGAACATTATTTTGTGTATTTAGTCTAATGAAATGTGTTTATGCGGTTTAAAGTTAAAAAACACATTATTTTCCACATACTGTACATTAATTATTGTTTCTCCTCTATGCCCCGCTTTTTTGAAACGCGTCGATTTTTACAAAGCTCATCGGTCTGAAAAGCGAGGTGTGCTCTGATTGGCCAGCTATCCAGTGCGTTGTGATTGGCCGAATACCTCAAGCGTGTGACGGAAATGTTACGCCCCTCACCATACAGAGAAAGGACAAATTGAAATCGCATCATATGACCCCTTTAAGACTTAAGACATGTGCCAACCATTGGGCCCAACATAAACTTTAGTCATTAATTATCAACATTTATGAAATATTTAGTGACATTACATGGGTCTGTTTTTCCCTAAGAATTTGAGCTTTCCAAATTAATAAAAAAAAATTATAAATAAAAATAAAGTTTGTTGCTGAATAATAATAAACATTTAATAAATTATTATTATTTTTAAAAATATATTCAATTAATAATATATTTCTATTATACTACTAAAATAAATGTAAAATAAAATAAAATCATCTTACCCTCTGAGGCGGATTTGTGGATCAGAATCAAGACAGTGACACTGATATAGATCTGTATCCGCATTATTGCCAGCGAGTTTCAATCCAGTATTCACATATTATATCTTCCAGTAAAAAATTTTTAATCCTGTCGAAATTACTGTTCTCGAGTGTAGTGAAACACTTCTGCGTTAAGATCCGTCTTGTAGCAGAGCTACATGAGACAATGAGGCAGCGCGAGGGTTCCAGGGAAATTACGTGTCTCGCGCACGGCCTCAGGCAAGACACAGGTGTTTACGTCTTCTTCTTCTTCTTCTTTTGGAGTTTTATGGCGGTTGGCAAACAAACGATAGGTGCATTCCCGCCACCTACTGGGCTGGAGTGTGGACCATTGCTGGAATAGGAAGAACTAAATAAAAAATAACATTATATAATAATAATAGAAAACATTTAAATAAAAAATTAAACCCTTCTAAATCCTGTTAAACAGATCTACTTTTTTTATGAATGTCATTAAAGCATTATATATTTTATAATGATTCAAGCCATTATTCAACAAAGTTTTAAGTGTAATATTTTCTATCCCTATTTCTTTTAATTCTTCCAACAGAAATGCTCATAAGCAGAACAAAGTAATAGTGCATGCTCTACTGTTTCTGGTAATCCACACAGACTACAGTTCCCAGACTCATCCCTCTGATTATTACCCAACAGCCTTTGCTTTGCTGTGTGTGTGAATGAAAACGCGTCTCTGCTGGTCGAGAACAACTGAATTCATTTATATTTCCTTTATTTGTGCGTTCAAACATTTTAGATTTACGGTAGATTATGCAACTTTATTTAAAACACCCATTCGTTATTTTATGTAACAGAACAGCCATCTATATACACAGGTTTGAGTAAAGGTTTCAGTGATTGTACTGCGCAATGCGTGCGTTATGACTTTCCTCAAAGTCATTGCGTGGTCCGAGTCGGTAAAATGATCCGAACTTCCCATCACTAGGCTGAATCCAGCTTCTTATTGACGCTATCCGTACCACCTTAAAAACGCGACGCTTCCGCGTTTGTAGCGTTGTGGCTCAATTTAGAGACTGTGCTGATTTTCTCGTTTTTTCACGTCTTTAAGGGACCGTGTTGTTTTTGTGGCTGTTTTCAGAATAAAAGAATAATACATTATTTTTAAACGCAAATAACACTATGTCATCTAAAATGGACATTAAAAATGTAAACGCACATAAATATAATTACAGTATTATTTAATTAGGCTACTGAATGTGTCATCAGCTCGACTTAGGGACCGTGTAGTTCTTCTCTTATTTATGCTTTTTTGTATAAAAAAAACACATCAGAGCTGGATCTGTCTGGAACAGGCTAAAACTGAGCAGAAAACTTACTGTCACTTTTGATAAATTGAATGCATCCTTGCTGAATATTAATTTATTGGAAAAAACAAAACTAAAAAAACAACAACTACAATAAGTCTTAATGACCCCAAACATTGGAACAGTAGTGTGTAAGTTTTGGATAGTTTATGTTAAACTACGAATGACAGGAATGTGTGACTAGAAAAATATGGTTTCATTTTCAACTTACAATAACTTTGGAAACAGGGTTAAACGATGAAGTTTAATAAATGCTACAACACTAATCCAACTCATACAAAGCATTACTTGTAGCTTACTTTAACATTGCCTGCAAACTGAAGCGACCTATAGGAGAGTGTTGTTTTCATCACATGTAGCTATAGATAGGTCAAGGATCAGCAGTGCAACAACAAAAACAACACAAATCAGCTACTAAGGAAAGTAGGTTAACAGTCAGGTGTTAAGACGAAACCCTGAGGTGCCGATAAAACAAACACAGACATAAACACAAGCACAAAGAAACAGACAGCGGTGAGTTAAGCCTCATAAAGCATTACAGCTGCTGTTCGTGGAAGCAGATGTGGAGTGAATGTGAGCACTGAAAAACAAGGTGGCAGGTGCACCGGCGCAAGGAGACGCTCATGTGGCTGCATGTTCGTCATGTGTATTTCTGCGCCACTGTGTCACTAAAAGGCAAAGTTTGAGGCAAATACACCTGCTTTCAATAGGCCACAATATCTCGTGTGAGGGCACATGATTTTAACAGATTTTTCAAAAGTATTATTAAAGGAATAGCTCGCCTAAAAATGAAAATGTGCTGAAAATGTATTCATCCTCAGCCCATAAAAGATGTAGATGAGCTTGTTTCTTCATAGGAACAGATTTGGAGAAATGTAGCATTGCATCACTCGCACACCAGTGGATCCTCTGCAGTGAATGGGTGCCGTCAGAATGAGAGTCCAAACAGCTGATAAAAACATCACAGTAATCCACACCGCTCCACTCCATCAGTTAATGTTGTGTGAAGTGAAAAGCTGTGTGTTTGTAAGAAAACAATCCATTATTAAGACATTTTTTTCACTTTTTCCAGCTAAAATAGAGTCCTCATACCATAATATTTTTTAAAAATAAGGACAAAAATAATATAACCAGGGTTTTTATTTATTTTTACTTCCTTACATTTTAACACACAAAATAAATAATTCCTCTTACTCTCTAATAAATAAAACACACACACATATACTCCGCCCTATTTACTTCTATAATTCCCTTTTACACAGAAAAGCCACTGCAGATCTTCAGATAGCTGCAATATGTTGAGAGCTCAGCAGCTGGTCTGACCTCCAGCAAAACACGGGTCAAGGGCACACAAACACAAACACTAAACCATCAAATCCCTGACAAATGTCTCCACCCTCCCTTAATGCTCTTCATACAAGTATCACCCAAACATGCATTCATGCTTGCATGAGCCCATATGGTGTCTGTTTGGTCTCATGTGTAAAACAAATATAATTTGCTTTCAGTATTTATGTTTTGTAATTCTGCAGGTCTCAGGTAAACTATGATTTGATCCTAATTTGCAATTTGCAAAGTCAAAAGTTTGGATGCATCTACTAATTGTCTATTATGACTAGTTGCTACGTTTTGAAATAGTAGTGAAGTCATTGAAGCTACAAAATAAAAAAATATGTAAATAAAAACTACTGTATTTGTCTATATGTCAGCTCTGTTCACATGGATGCTCTGTTTCCACTATTATCTGCCTTGTGAAGAGAACGGAAGACTGTTTGGTAGAAATCGCACTTACAGCTTCTTATGTCTCCTGTGAAACAGCTGCTTCTCAGATTGAAAAATCTCTGTCCGATCTTTCCAGTCAGATTGACGCAGTATTCGCCTCTGTGCTCAGAAAACACAACGGACGTCTCGCATGTATTTTGCTTAATCTCACAGGTTTCACAGGCTTCATTCCTCCCCTGTAGAGAAAACAAGAGTTACAACTATTTAAAAGAACAGTTCATTGAAAAATGAGCATTTAGTCATTATTAATGCACTCCGTTTGACTTGAGATATACACTACTGTTCAAAGATTTGGGGTCGATAAGATTTGTTTGTTAAATGAATACTTTTATTCAGCAAGGACGCAATAAACTGATCTAAAGTGAGAGAAAATCATGGTTTCACAAAACGTGCACAACTGTTTTCAACACTGATAATCAGAAATGTAATCATCAGCTACTTTCTTGGTGCTTTTTTGTCCTTATTGGAGCTATAAATTGTTATAATATAGAAAAAAGCTGCTGAAGATTGTTCAAGTGAGTTTTTTTGTTTTTGGTTGAACTATTACTGCGAGCAGACAGGAAAGTGAACATTACTTCTTCTGTTTCGATACAGTATTCCAGATTATCGGTGAGGCTGCGCAGAGCCGGTGAGTTTCTGTACAGCTGAAGAGGGTTGGTGAACTGGACGTGAAGTTTGCCGTCTTTGGGAGAAAGTTCAACCTCAGGAAAATCCAAATGACCTGAACACACGGAAGTACAGTTAGATTATACTGCCGGTATTTGCTATGATAGATGATATTTCCACTAAAAACACTAAACATACACTTAATTTTGGCGGTAGCATATTTATTATAGCTGAAGATATCTGATCGTGTCGGCTCTGACTCCTCTACTCCTCGCACGGTCGTCACATTAACAATGTAGCGGTTGTATGCTGGATAAAACAGCATACTGGATATGTTTAAACGCAGACTTCGTGTAAGATTTTGTGTAACATTAGAGTTCCTGGAACAAAAATAAATAATAATGGCAGACAAAATCATTCAATCAAGAACAAATGAACATTTAGAGACTATAAAAGGCTCTTATTAGCTGGGAAAGATGAGGTTTCTTTAATTCAGATGATTTACCTTTGATTGAAGTCGTGTATCACCTTCACCTGGAATTGGACGTCCTGATCGAGATCAGGATATTCCCATCGAACTTCAACTCCGTAGCTGTCACACTGAATCGACACGCTAGCAGGAGGAGACGGGCGACTCACAGCTAAAAGAGAGACCTAATCATATTAGTGTTTGATCAATCACATGCTCTTTCCTCTCTGTTTGCATTAGTCTGGCCACATCATCTCCATATATATTACATTCTTATTATGCTAAGCAAAACAATGCTCATAATTCCCATTCAGAGTACTGTAAAAAGACCAAATCTGTCAAGACATATGTGGACCAAATTTCAGAAAATAAATAATGAAATATACTTTGTGTAATTACAATTTTTTGCATTGTAACATTATTCTCAAAAGACAGTTAAACACATTTCACTGACAGTAGTGCAGTAAATTAACACTATTCTCGTTTGCACTATAATGCCAGAAAAGTGATATATTCACAGATTGTGAAGTACAAGTGGTATGTTAAGTATACAATGTAGCATAATTTGTTTTACTGAATATACCAATATGCCAATTAAAAGTTTGGGGTCTGTATTTTTTAAATGTTTTTGAAAGACGTCTCTTCTGCTCACCAAGGCTGAAATTATTTGATGAAAATTACTGTAAAAACTGTAATACTGTGAAATATAACAATTTAAAATAACTGTTTTCTAAGTGAATATATGTTAAAATGTAATTTATTCCTGTGATCAAAGCTGAATTTTCAGCATCATTACTCCAGTCTTCAGTGTCACACGATCCTTCAGAAATCACTCTAATATGCTGATCTGCTGCTCAAGAAACATTTCTGATTATTATCAATGTTGAAAACAGTTGTGCTGCTTCATATTTTCCCCAGGATTCACTGAACTTCCGAGAACTCCAACCCTACAAGCTTCGCACCCCAAACACAATGTTGTAATGAGATGAATCGTATTACAACATTCAAAGAAAAAATGTTCAACTGGACTGAGCTGTCGCATTACTTGCAACCTTTTTTAATGGGGCTAAAATGTGGTTAAAATGAGTTATGACTGAAATCAGATCTCTGCACAGTCGAATCACTCTAGTCAAATGTGATATCATTGAACCCAAGACCTTGGAGTTGTGCTGCCATAAGATTCTGAAATTAAAGTAATGTAAAGTAATCATGAATAACCTTGCTTCTATATGAAAATGAAAGCCTTTTAAAGGGGTCATATGATGCTGCTAAAAAGAACATTATTTTGTGTATTTGGTGTAATGAAATGTGTTTATGTGGTTTAAAGTAAAAAAAAAACCACATTATTTTCCACATACTGTACATTATTGTTTCTCCTCTATGCCCCGCCTTTCTGAAACGAGTCAATTTTTACAAAGCTCATCGGTCTGAAAAAGCGAG